GAGGGTGAACGTTGAATTCACCTTTAAATTTCCGATTTCTCAAAATATTGAGGTTAACGTCAAATGCGAAAGCCGTAGAGGAAAACTTTAGCTTAGCTCTTCCGTAAATACAACAAACAGATCAGCAAGTAACAGCAGATATTTCAATCAGAAAAGCACACAATGCAGTTTTTTGAATGTGTCATTCGTCATATCTCAAATCATTAATTTATAAGCTCTAAAAGCTCTACATTCTTATATATGTTCTGCATCACTTCACGATTGATACACCGTTGCAAGAAATTGTCCAGTAAGTTCTTGTTTAAGCTCTCTCTCCTAGTCGCACCTTCCCATACATTTTAATTAGCAACCTCTCATTGTTATTTGTCCGTCGATATTCCGCAGGTGCTACTCCATGGGTTCAGTGATTATCGTGGTATTCGAACCATGGCAATGCTGCATTTCAAGTGACCCAGGGATGCGTTACCTCGAATATAATCCTTAACACAATATGAGCTGTAGCATTCCAACGTGATACCTTCTGAACGTTGTGACTACAACAGCATAGGCAACGATTGATCAGCTCAGTGCGAATCAAAAGCTATCCTATGAGAAAAATGTGGGTGACACTGGTCATAAATTCTATTTAACTACGACAAATACTTGAGGTACTTGAGGTAAAACGCAAAGTCATGCGAGATGCCACGGACAGCGCCCATGACGGCAGAGTGCTATACGCGTTAAAAGGAAAATTTGGTCATAAGCTATGCGGCAAAGATTCAAGTGCGTCTGCCAGAACTTGTCAACTGAATTTTGCAGATGATAAGGCTTGAGAAAAATTAAATATGCTATGGGAAAAGTTTCAACATGCAAGAAGAACGAAGCGGTCATAGATGTAACTGAACAATAAACATTTAATGTGGTGGAAAGTTTAGCAATATCCACATACTTAGTGATTAGGCTCTCGTCAGAAAGGCAAACTGGCAAAGGATTTTGACCTATGGGCAACGTTTGAATTTCACTATTTTGCGGTTAAGAGTGAAAACATGCCTAAGTAAATTTCAAGTGACGGCTGGTAACGAAGCCTCACAGCACTCTCCGGCCATTTTTGAACACCACAATGCTTTTTTTAAGAGAAAAATGGTCTGATTACGAGAACATGGAGAACGGAGGTGTTGCACACTTGAATGAGGATAGCTGAAATCCTCTACCTGAGATCGGGAGGTCAAAAGTTTTAAAGTTAATGACATTAAATGATTCGTCGTGTCCGCAATAAAAGCGGTCAGCCCTTTTCGATCTGCCACAGCTTTTTACCTTCGAAACTGCGCTGTCTCGTCAACAGTCATGTGGCGAAATAATCGACAAATCGCCCAATGACTGCAACAAAGGCGACATTGTGACTAACCACAGGAAGTAACGAATGCTATCGGGATTCATGCAGTCCTCTTAGCATGTCATCGAGAGAATGAGCCGTTGTTGCGTCAGGCGTCAGTGCGAACCACTGCTTTACTGAAGTTGGCTTTACCATCATCCGTGCATCGCAAAGCTAATCGCTTATTCGTCTCGGCGAAAGTATAACAATCACATTCAAGCCTTAAACGAGCACTAGCAATGCGATTCTAATTTAATCTATAATTGAATATCGATTTTCGCGGTGAAGCAATTACTTTTATCCACGACGAAAGAAGTTTATCACAACAGTTGGCTGTTTGGCGAATAGAGCAATCAATGGTCAAAAGTATTCCCGGAGGTCGGCTTTCGTTGAAACTTTGCGGCTAATTGTCAGTAATTTGGCTTCAGCAGCCGCGACAGTCGATAATTTAAGAACTTCGGGAAAATACCTGCAAATCAGCATACTGTTTTTTCGGTCAACATACAGTACAAGGGCATCGGCTGAAATATAAATAATTCGTGAGCAGAGAAATCTACAGCAAAAATTCCATAATCACTATTGAATGTTGACTATCCGTGATCACTATAACTACTGGCTTAACTTCACCAGCATTCCGTGTTTGCTGCAGCCAAGTTTATGGAATAACGATGACAAGTCGGAAGATGAACGATTTAATGGATTCTCCAATATCATAGAAAGAGTGAGGAGAACAATCACAAAAATAGAAGGAAAAGCCAATTAGTACTGGAGCAAAGAGATGCATTTTGTTTCGCGATAGAGCAGCCGACCTATAAGAACAAGAAAAAAATCAGAATATTGGCAGTATGAGTTAAAGAAGCGTGCTGAACAAGATGGATAAGAATTAAGAATCACAGAAAATTGAATTTATGCAAAAGCATTGCAAAAATCAAAACGGCTGACGATGATGGGGAGGTGCAAATAAAAGCAAGGAATACCGTTACTGGTGTCGCATGTCACTTATGAATAAATGAATATTGAATTGACCATTCGGATAAGGGCGTCCAACGTACTTGTGAGCATGCATCGTGAAGCAATTGTTCAAATTGTTCGTTGTAAGCACGATGACTAATGAATATATTTAGAATGCCATTTTGAATTTACAATTACATTAAATGTTCGCTACTGTTTTGATGTTGTCGTTTCGGTGTGCAGACATATCTGTCTCAACGGTCCAAGTTTCGTTCAGGATGTCAATGCCACCTCTTCAACACATCATGATCATGTTTCAGTTCCCTTCCCCCATTCAAATCCAAAGTGGATCGTGGTATTCAGAGTACAACTAAAGTGTCTGGTCCGTGAACGTTAGTGGTCCTGCTCTATGCAAAATATTCGTACGACACATAACTCATAGCTACAGAGACAAAACTTAGCATGCATACCTGCATGGAGATTATGTCTCGCCTTTTCAAACAGTCCAATGAAAAAACTTCCTTCATAAGACATGCCATATTTGAGACACTTCACATATCTGCCGTTTATCTCACACCTTTCTGTTAGACTAAAAGATTATCAGAAATTGATACACGTTGAAAATGACACAATGTGCAAAGTTAAACAGCTGCACATATTGAGAAACGAAACGTAACGTTCGATTTCTCCCTCCAGCGAATACCAAATTTCATCTACACTTTGTTCATAACTTTACAGCTGAAATCAACAGGGCAGGTTAAAGTCGACCAAGTGAAACTAACAGCCAAGAATTTTTCCAATGTTCCTCTCCTTCTAAGATGACATGATTCTGTGAAAGAATTCTGCTTGAAAACACACTGGTCGATTGTAGTTTGACGGCGGTCTTGCTTTTGAATGTTACTGAATACCGCACGAATATGGTAAGAATAATATCGGATATCGGACCTCTGTCCCATACTGTCATTAGAGAACTAGAAGGGAAAGAAAAATTGGCACCCGAAGGGGTGTCGACCTCCCTCACACTTCAAATATAAATACCCTTCTTTAAATTGAGTTTACTGTACTATATTAAACTCAGTTCTTGCATCCTCAGTAGAGAGTATTCTGTTTCAAAGACAATGTATCCATGTCTACTGCAATGTAGCAAAACAGTGAACAGCATCTCGTCTGTGCTTCCACAATATGGAAAGACAGAACTACTACGGTAAGAAAAATGACAGCTCAATGTTTGCACATATGCCGTGCATGGATGCGAAACCGCATATCTGCGCACACGGTCAGAAATACTTAAAATTTCTTTTAAAAAAGGAAATCAGTTAAAGGAGAAAAAAATCAACCAAAGTCAATCGTTCAAATCAATCAAGAAGGAAGTCAGTAGCATACAACATTTCCTTGGCATCTCAATTGAACATTAGGCGAACGGGTCCTTCAGTTTCCCCTTCACTCCAGTCGTTATTAAAACGCTTCGCGTTGCATTTATCTCCATTACTAATATTATGAAACAAATGAATTACAGAGCCCTGAAATATGGCAAACGAAAACGTATCATTTCTGAAGCGGCTAAGCGCCTTTGTAATATTTTCTTGAAATATAGCTGTACTGTGTTCAATTCATTCTTTATTCGCTCACCGCATTCATAATCCTTACCTTCCAAATCAGTCTCAACAGGACTGTCACTGATTTCATATATCCACGGAATATCTGAAGATCTGCGAGGTTGTTGGGAAACAACTGTCTTAACGAATTTTATTATCTGTCTAACCCCGGCTACCATTGATAACGAGAATAAAGCTACGACGGTGATCAAAGAATCACAGCACATCTCAGCTAATAAGAACAAAACATGCAATGATTGCAGAGCTTCTCCAGACATCGCTAAAGAACTGAGTTTACTGTATCAATTTATTAAAGATACGTGAGTTTCCCTACATACTGTAAAATGCGTTAGTTTGTCCGAAGGTCGCAGTTGTCCGAAACGTTTAAATCAGTACAGTCAAGTATAGCATAAGGTTTTGCCTTGTACGCAAAACCACTAAATCGAAAACTTGGATTTTATGCAACAGAGATAAACAACCCAAAGATGGAGAATAAGAACTGTTTGTAATGTTTTATATTTTGGGTTCTAAACTTTAACGTCGAATGTTCCTTCGACTTTCTATTTGCATACAACTGTTGAACTGAAAAATTTTTCTTGATATCCGATAATGCTGCATCAGTATATAGTTCCAAAGAAGAAACATTTTCAGCTAAGAATATATATCAATTTTCTACTGCGCTTCTCAAAATAAATCTGTTTTTAGCAGTCCATCATAACCATACGAAAAATAATTTACATTGATTGGTTTAAAGTGTGAATTTCGCATTGTTGTTTTAAAGCTTATTATCAGAAGATCGCTTAGGCGTAGTAAGTCGTGACAGTAGCGACAGATAAAAATGCAATCAGCGAATTTACCAACAGCATTTACTGTGTTAGCGCATAACACGTTACATCAGGACAACGTCGGCATGTAAAACAAAAAAAACAAGTCTGTAAAAACATCATGCGGCAGTTTTAGACGGGGTTGAGCATGCATTGAGAAATGACGTGAACGGGTGCAGGCGAGCGTCGACTGCTCACGGAGGAGGGAGCAGCAGCCGTCAATGTTCGGTCAGTAAAATACGAAAGTCACAATGACGACGAATTCCGCATGCGAACGATTCACAGCGTGTTCTTCAAGACGCTACCCACCAACATATGCTTGGCAAACTCAATGCTGAACGAGTTCGAAGAGGCAACGACGAGAAAAACGCACACAGCGCGTTCTGTGTCCTTCTTTGTCCGTTTGTCCTCAACGAGACTGCGCCTACAATAACCATAAGCACGGATGGCACCGACAGAAAAAAGGCTGTTGCTTCGAATCATCATCATCGACTCGCCACCACTGAAACGTCGTCCAATGAGCTTACGACGGAGGCGGCGGAGGAGGTAGCAAAATATCCGGCGGCAAGGGCGGTTGCAAAGGGTTTCCGGTCATGGTCGGGTTTCCTTCCTGTGGATGGGGTAGTGGCGATGGGTGAGACGTACTTGGTGGTTGAACGGACTGCGTCTTTTGCATACTCAGCGCTTTCGACAGAGCTCGCTTCAACTGCTCCTCGTTAAAAGTGAGAAAATTGAAAGATTTACGGCTATCCTTGCGACCCAATTCCGGTAATGCAGTACTTGTTTTAACCTAAAAATTAAAACTCGACTTATAAAATACCAAAAAATAATTACTGACTGTCTTTAAGAACAACGTTTAAATCCGAAACAGAAAAGAACAAAAAGAAACAGAAGACAAAACGCTGCAAAACAAAGAAATCAATAACGACTGTTATACGAATAAAGTGCTGTAGATGACCGTAAGCGAATGAATCTCTTAATTTCATGGACAGCATCATGAAAGAAAAAATTCTTTAAGACTAATTCGACTATTAAACAAATTTGCATCCGCCATCATGGTCATTGCTTGATTCGGTCGAAAAGTTAGATCTGTTTTAAATAATTTACAAAGAGAACTGAAAACAGAATAATGAATTAAATGGCTTGCATCAGAGTGGTTCATCCTATCTGTTCATACAGCTATCACTTCTAAAATCTTAATCTTACACTTCTAAATCTCCTGTTCGCTTCAGCAGAGGCAATTCTGTTCGCATTTCCTTGCATAATCTTGTTTTTCATATATCGCCCTCCCTCACAACAGAGTCATTTTCTTCTTCTCAGTTGATGCATGAAATGTTTTAAGCTAAATCCTGTTTTTGAGCTATCTTCTAATTTCCTTGACATAACTGACCAAATGCGCTTACGAATTATGATCCTTTCTCGGAATCACCACGAATCAAGCATTGCTTTAAACCGCAACAAACCGCTTCAACAAAAAGGAAAAATTTCTGACTACATGTAGTACAGGTGTATAAAAATTCATGTAAACCCAGTGGAACCTTTCTTTGGAATACATACATTTTAATTCTAACTCTAGAAAACGGAACTGACACGGGTACACTTTACGAATCCGAAGAAATGGTCGGAAAATGTTATTCTTACTGTCAGTACTGAAACTGGAAGTGTGGTGGCAAATCCATACCAAGATACGTCTACGGATGGAGGCACATCAGTCGGTATTCGAAAATGTTTCTGTTCAACAAAACAAAAGGCACTGTTGCCATGGGTTCTGGATAATGGCCAGGTCTTCC